AAAAAAAAAAAAAAAAAAAAGATGTTAGCTAGTTCACAGAGAGAAAGTATAAATGACCTAATAACATTAAAAGATGCCATTAATATTTAACTGAGTATGAATTAAAACAATAAATGTCAGTTTTGGCTATCAAAACTGGCCAAGACTGATAACTAATTTTTAAAAATTATTTTATTTAAAATTTATTTATTTTTACTTTTTATTCATTTATTCTTTTTTGAGAGAGTTTTTTTGCTATAAGGTGCATGCACTTGCCAGAAAGACAGAGAGAGACAGAAAGCAAGAATTCATCTCTTGGGGGGATGGATGACCATGCTGTAATCCCTTCTCCATTCTCCTCTCAAGATTTTGGGAAATATGCACATGTGCCCAGCATGAGTTTTAAGCTTCTGGGTCTAAGATTCAAACCTCAGTCAACTATGTGGGAGCATAGCAACGTAACCCTTACACTAGCTGCTGGTCCCAACATTAAATAATTCTTAAAAAAAAAAAAAAGTATAAAACACCGCTCTCCCTTACATTTGGATTTATCCATACTAGCTCCTTTGGTGTTGGAAGCCTGGTAAGCACAGGCTGTGTGAAGAGCTGCTGTGTAGATGTGGCATGCATGACTTCCAATTGGGTAAGTAAAAACTGATACCCAGAGTTACCTGTTGGACAGCTGCACCTGAGAGTGATGACTTGTGACTTCTTGGCTATCCCACGTGGGCACTAAAAATTGAATGAAGAATTAATTCTTTTTTTGTCAATAACTCTTAGCATTAAGATGTGGTAAATGAGCTTTTATAGTCCAGAGTACCAGTATTAATCTTTATATAAAAGTTTTTGCTCTCTAGCAACTGTTACAGAATTTTTTCACTAATGGTGCTCAATGTGCTGTACCAATTGCTGGCGTTAAGGAAGACTTTGAATTCCTGGGGCCAGCAGGTGGCGTAGTGGTTAAGGGTGCTGGACTCCCAGCACCCATGGTTGGGTGGCCAACCGTGGTTCAGTCCTGGACCTGGAGGCTTGCTTTCTCATTTTCCCTCTCTCTCTCTCTGTCCCTCTCTAGTCAAATTAAAACAAACAAAGTTAAATAAAATAATTCTTTAAAAAAAATACTTTGAATTTCTAAAAAAAACACGATCCCCAAGTCTATTGGCAGCCTTAGCTGCTCTCGCTTATCGGTGATAGTTCTACAGGCCCGTTTTACTGTAAAAGTAGAAAGCTTTCTTTTCTCAGCAGGCTGCAGATAGCAGACTCCCAAGTGCTCCAAGCACTTGGCATTGGCTCTGCTGGGAACCACATGGAGACTAATTTCTTTCACCAGGTCAGAAGTAATTTGATCACCTTCTACGGGTGGCTAGAATCTCCACAGCTCTGAGAGAGTATCTTCTACGTTACCCGTTTCTTCTCACCACATCGCTTACAGACCTAATTCAAAGTTGTACAAACAAACGAAATGCTTATACCACACTATAATATTACTGAAATTGCCAGGAACATTTATCTGGACCTCAGCTGTGTGATGACGTCCTTTGGAACAAATCTGTATTTGGCTGGGCAAATCAAAAAGCACATTTGGCTATATAAGAATATCTTACGTAGGTAGGTGGTGTGATGGTTAATGCACTAGACTCCCACATGGCTGACTGTGGTTCAAGTCCTGCACCTGGTGGCTTGAAACACTCTAGGCATATATGTGTGTGTGTGCCCAAAATCCTGAGGGGAGACTGGAGAAGGGATTGCGGTGTAGCCATCTCCCCTGGGGGGGGGTGATTTCTCGCTTTCCCTCTCACTGTCTCTCTGTGTCTCCGGCCAGCACACGTGCCCTATGGCAAAAATCTCTCTTAAAAAAAATAAAAATAAAAAAAAGAGTATCTTAATTTAAGGCCCAGCCTCAGTGGCACAGTCTGTAGCACACTAGACTGTAGTGCTAGAAGCTGCATGGCCTATTGCTGATCTGGGCCGACTGGCAATGTGTGCCTAAGATCTTGACAAGCTGGAGGTCTAGAGAAAGAGACTGTGGTGTGACCAGACCCTATTGTGGACGATTCTCTCTCTTTCCTGCAATGCACATATACATTTTCTACCAGAAATTTATCTTTTAAAGAAGAATAGTTTATGTTTAAGATACAAGTATTCTGGGAACCAGCAGTTAGCGTAATGGCTATGTCACTGGACTCCCACGTGGTCGACCGCGGTTCGTGTCCCGGACCCGGTGGCTTAAAACTCACGCCAGGCGCGTGTGCGTGCATGCCCAAGATCCCGGGAGGAGAATGGAGGAGAAGAGATTGCGGCGTGACCATCCCCCCTGGGGGGTGATTTCTCGCTTTCTGTCTCTATGTCTCTCTCTGTCTGACTGGCGAGCGCACGCGCACTACAGTGAAAATCTCTCCAAAAAAAAAAAAAAGATACAAGTATTCTAAACTATATAAGGCCATTAAGTCATGTGTCACAACAAAGAATCCAATAGAGAGTGTGAGAAAGAGATGTCTCCCCTCCTCAAACTGATTAGACGACCCCAGGATCATGGAGAGTGCAACCTTCTTTGCGAGCTGGTATTCTACATCACTGTGTTTGCTACACAGAAGATAATATGAAGCTAACCTACAGAAAAACATCCTTTCAGCAGTTAAGTTGAAAAACATAGTTTCAAAAGTTTTTATAAAAGTAAAAATAAACAAACAAACAAAAATACTGTGTGAAAAATACAAATGTAGACAGATTATGGGGATTTTGTTTTGTTTTGTTTTGTTTTGTTTTGCCACAGGGCAAGTGTACCAGACAGACAGACAATGAGAGGGAAAGTGAGAAATCACCCCCCCGGGGGGGCTAGCTGGGCTGCAATCTCCTCTCCTTCACTCTTCTGGGATTTTAGGGGTGTATACACACCCACCAGGTACAATTTTCAAGCCACCAGATTGGGGACTAGAACCGCAATCAGGCATGTGGGAGTCCAGCACCTTAACCACCACATCACCTGCTGGCCCCCAGATTATGAGATTTAAAATTTTTAGTGGGATATAGTTATGAGGATTTTTTTTTTTTTTTTGGTGATATTTTTGCTATAGGACACATGTGCTGGCAGGAGACAGAAAGTGAAAAATTACTCCTTCTTCCTGTGTGGATGGCTACACCACAATCCCTCCTCTATTTTTTTCTCAGGATTTTGGGGATGTATGCACATGTGCCCAGCATGTTTTTCAGGCCACCAGGTCCAGAACTCACATCTGCAGAGTTGGCATCCAGCACCTTAACCACCATGTCACCTCCTGACCCTGAATTATTTCTTTTTAATAACTGATGGGTTATTAATATGCTCATGGTAAATTTTTTAATAGGGGGGGATGTCTGCTGGCTGAAATACAGCATTCACAGGCCTTGGAAAGATGACTAAAAGTGGCCAGGTGGGCCAGCCCTGTGGCGCAGCAGCAATGAGCTGCCTGGGAGAAGCTGGATCCCATAGGGCCACTGCAGTTTGAATCCCCAGCCTCCCTGCCTGAAATGGGCTGGGTGCACACAAGATTCCCAAGATCCTGGAGTTCTGGAGAACTGGAGGAAAGAGACTGTGGCATGACCAGATCCTATGGATAGTGCTCCATGTGGGAGCCCAGTGCCTTAACCACCATGCCACCTGCCAGCCCTGACCCCAAAAGCTTTAATAAAAACTGCTTATGGGACAGCTCTTTTTTATTATATATAACACCGAGCCCATGCCCAAAGCAGATGCTCTAACACTCTGTTCTGAGGCTAGCCCTTGGATTCCTCAGACACCAGTTGATGGGGTTATCTGCAGTTCATATAGGATTTCAATCAGCTGAAATAGCAGCTCCAAAGCATATGTTCTGCTAAGCATCTAATTTGGTGTGGCGTGAATGAATGAGATTTCATCATAAACAAGATAGTGTCAGGATCATTCCTTCATTCCAAAACACATTTATTGAAACCACTCTAAGGTAAAGGAGCTTATTAGTACGGTGGGGTGAACAGGTAATTATAATACAGTCTAAAAATGTAAGGGACACGTTTATAACAGTGTAATGATAGTTGTAACAGATGCATGAACTTACTTAACCTGGAGAATGAAGGAAGGCTTCCTGAGAGAGGGAGCACTTAAGCCCAGTCCCTGAAGAGTCAGCTGGACTTAGCCAAATGAATGAGTGCTCAGGGGAGGGAAGCAGCAGATGCAAAGGCAAAGAGGCAGGACAGCGCACGGACCATTCAGGACACTGCAAGGCAGCAACTTGATTAGCACAGAACGCCTGGCAGATGGTAGCAGGTGAAGCTGGGGAAGGATGCAAGAAATAGACCCTGAAGGTCTGGTATACCATGTGATTCCTCCCTAGGCTATAGCGGTCATTTGTCTCTGAACTAATTCCAGAGAATAATTTTGCTTACACAACTGCTATTCTCACAGCTGCTTCCACATCTTAATATTGAGTATTTCAAAGCGTAGTCTTACATGTCCTTCTGCCAGTTTTCTGTTCATCACCATTTTGCAGATCGCTGTAATAATGGGTGCCCTTTGCTGAATGTTTACTCTGTGCTAGCTGCTGTATTAAATGCTTTAGATAAATTATCTAATAAAACAAGAAAGAGCAAGGCTTTAGAGGCAGACCAGGGTTCCTATTTCAGTTCTGCCCTTACTCAGCGAGTAACCTTGGGCAAATTATTTTACTTCTCTGGGCCTAAAGTTTCCTCATCCAGAAATTTGAAAACCCACTACCTCCTTCACAGGGAATTTGCAAAATTTAAATTGGACATTTAAAGCATTTAAGACACATAACCACTTAATAAAAACAGGGGCCAGCAGATGGCATAGCAATTATGTCACTGGACTCCCACAGGGCCCACTGCAGTTTGAGTCCTGGACCCATTGGCTTTAAAGTACATATGCATATGTGTCCAAGATCCCAGGAGCAGAGTGGAGAAGGGATTGCAGCATGGCCATCCTCCTGGGGGGTGATTTTCACTTTCCCTCTCACTGTCTCTGTCTCTCTCTCCAGTGAGCACACACACCCTAAGGCAAAAATCTCAAATAAATAAACTATATATTTGCTATAACTGTGATGTCATTTATACAAAAATATAATCATGTCCAAGCATTAAACCAGGAGAGGGAGCCTCTCATCCATTTCTGGCTTTAAGGCCAAGGTAAATATACCCACCCATGGAAAGAACTGCTTCTGAAGTGAGAGCAGAAGATAGGGTAAAAGGCAATCGATGGTACCTCTATGGTAGACAGGGGCGGACTGGGGACAAGTACCAAGCTACTTTCAGTGTTATCAGTAATGTTCTTGATTGAGAATGAATTCATTAGTGTTTGTTCTATTACTATGATTTTGGGGGATTTTTTAGAGAGATTTTTGCTATAGGGTGCGAGTACTAGCAGGAAATAGACAGAAAGCGAGAAATCACCCCCCAAGGGAGCTGGCCATGCCACAATCCCTTCTCCTCTCAGGATTTTTGGTATGCACACACATGTGCCTAGTGTTGTTTCAAGCCTCCTGGTCTGGGACTCGAACCATGGTTGGCCATGTGTGAGTCCAGCAACATAACCATTATACAATCTGCTGGCCCCCTATTACTATGTTCTAAAAGTTGGATGTATATTAAATGTATCAGATATGAGCTGGAACACTATTAAGTGACCCCCATTCGCCTGCACCTCTATCTATTTCTAGTCCCTGTCTGAGAGCTCATGACGGAATCATTCCATCCCTTCTCTGTGCCTTTATCCTACTGTTCTTGGCTCTTTCTCATTGCAAGTCAGATACTGCCATCCAGTCATGTCCCGAGTTAGACTCGAAGCTTCCTAAAGACAGAGGCAGGTTCTTCCACGACCTTATGGTTCCAGCAGAAGTCAGTGCAGTGCTTAAGGTGCTTGATAAATACTTCTGAAACTAAATCCCTACCTTTGTGATAAAGGGCCACTTAATCAAATATGAACTGGTTTTTGGTATGTTTAAAATTGTTCCTGTTTGGGCCACCAGGTGGTGTGGATATTAAGGTGCTAGACCCACATGGGAGGCATGCACATGTGTGCCCAAAATCCCAAGAGGAGACTGGAGAAGAGACTACAACATGGCCATCCTCCCGCCCACGGGGGTGGGGTGATTTCTCACTTTCTCTCTCTCCCTCTCTCTCCAAGGTGAGTGCAAGTGCCCTACAGCAAATTTTAAACAAAGGAAGTAAAGGGGCTTTCCAGGTGAGGGAACTGGATGTTCTTTGGGAATGAAGAGAGCAAGTGGTTCGTAAGAAAGGTCATGAAGGGGGCCGGCAAGTGGCGTGATGGTTAAGAGCGCTGGACTCCCACATGGCTGCCCGTGGTTCGAGTACCGGACCTGGCAACTTGCTTTCGTACTTCCTCACCTCTCTCTCTCTCTCTCACTCTATCCTTCTCTGGTCAAATTGAAATAAATAAATAAAATAAAGTTCAATAAAATAACCCTTTAAAAAGAAGAAAAGAAGGTTATGCAGATGCAGAAAGAGTGAAAATTATGTTTAAAAGGGTGAGAAACAGACAGGAGGCATGTATCTAGGGAACAGCTGAGCCTAGGAAAGGTAAGCAAGGTTGAAGGGCGAGGGAAAAAAGGAAAGAGTTCTCTATATGCTTTAGAGTTTATTTAAATATTTCTCTTTATTTTAGATTTCTGCTATAGGGCACATGTACTCACCAGAGAGAGAGACAGAAAGAGGGAAAGTGAGAAATCACCCTTGGGGGAATGGCCACAGTGCAATCCCTTCTTCTCCATTGTCCTCCTGGGATTTTGGGCATGTGTGCATACAGGCCTGGTGTGATTTTCAAGCCACCAGTCTGGATCTCAAACCAAGGTCAGCCGTGTCGTAATCCACCACCTTAACCACCACTCCTGGCCCCTAAGTATTTCTTTATGGAAAATTAAACTGTTAAATTAATCCTGGACTGGGGCCAGTAGGTGGCGTGGTGGTGAAGGCACTGGTCTCCACATGACCAGCCACAGATGGAGTCCCAGACTTGGTGAATTGCGTTCTCACTTTCCCTCCCTCCCTCTCTCTGTCTTTCTCTGGTGAACACATGCACCTCTAGCAAAATTTTAAAAAATAATAGTATTGATAAATAAAATTAAATAATTATTTTTAAAAATTAATCCAGGGCTCTGAGATTCAATAAAAGATCATAAAACCTAAGTAAGGGCTCTTCCCTAATCTGAAGCTTACAGAAAAGTAACGACAAGGAGAATGAAACAAATGAAGGATCTACTCACAAAAAGGGAAGAGGGTCTGTTACACGAAGGGCACTCGTGGAACAAAAGCTAACTAAGCTTCACGGCTGTGGCGTCCCCAGCTCTTTCCGAATGCCACGACCACTGGTGATTTAGGTTATCAATATAACAAATAAAAATGTATTTCTTACCTCTGTCTTCTCCCTGCTCACCAATAACCCATACTTTGCCTGAAGTCTGTGCCTTCAAAATGTTTGTGATGATATACTGTAACCTCTGTGAATCCAGGTTGCATCCAATTCCAATCACTTTATTTGCAGGAAATGCACTCAGCTTCCATGTCACATAGGTCATGATTTCCACTAAATATTGCATACAAGATGAAAACAGAGAGAATTCAAAAAATATACCTCTAGCTTTAAACTTACAAACAAAATACTTAATAAGTGATGTACATTCAGGCTTCAATATACTCCTCAGGCCCTAAATACACTGAAACATAGCACATTCCTAATGTATATCAAAATCACTAACCAAGTTTCAAGAAGACATTAAATATTATTTATTGGGAACCAGTGGTTAGCGTAATGGCTATGTCGCTGGACTCCCACGTAGTCCACCGCGGTTCGTGTCCCAGACCCGGTGGCTTAAAACTCACGCCGGGTGTGTGTGCGTGTGTGCCCAAGATCCCAAGAGGAGAATGGAGGAGAAGGGACTGTGGCGTGACCATCCCCACTGGGGATGGTCTCGCTTTCTGTCTCTATGTCTCTGTCTGGCGAGCGCACGAGCCCTATAGCGCAAACATCTTCCCCCCCCCAAACAATGTATTTACTTTAAGTAATAAGTACTTTATTATTAAATATAAATTATTAAAGAGCCATAGATGGCATGGTGCTGGATCCCACATGGCCAACTGTGTGCTTGAGTCCTGGATCTGGCAGCCAGAAAATCATCCTGGGTGTGTGTGCTTGCCTGCCCAAAATCTCAAGGAGGCTGGAGGAAAAGGGGCTGTGGCATAGCCATCTCCCCTTGGGGGTGATTTCTTACTTTCCCCTCTCTCTCTGCCTCTGGTGAATACACAAGCCCTATAACAAATATATAGATAGAGAGATAGATACACACATATACACATGCATACACAAATATATATGAAATAAATAATTGTTAGAGATAGAAAATAGATAATTTCCCAGAACACTGAATACTTACAAAAGAAGGATAAAGCCTGGGTACAAAAAGCCAGAATATAAGTGCCAGCAGGTGGTATAGTGGCTAAGGTGCTGGACTTACCCACATAGCTGACCACGCTGCAAGTCCTGGACCCACCAGCTTGAAAATCATGCCAGGCACATGTGCATGCATGCCCAAAATCCCAGGAGGAGAATGGAGGAGAAGGGAATGCAGCATAGCCATTTCCTCCCCTCCCCCGGTTTTTCTGTTTTGTTTTGTTTTTGGTAAAAAAAATTTCTCACTTTTCCTTTCACTATCTATCTATATGTCTCTCCAAGTGAGTGCACATGTCCTGACAGGACTGAATTGAGGTTTATGTATGACTAGTGTATTGGGCATTTGCTTTTCAACAATTTGAGTAGTTGATATGTAAATATTTTCTCAAAAATATTTAAAACCATACTGTTTTTGCTGTTACATAGAGTCACAAACAAAATTATACAAAATTATAAGAAATATTTTGAACATTATCTTTAAAATTCAGTATTTTGAAAGTTGTTTATTAACTGTTAAGAACTATGGAATATGAGCAAAAATTTTTTTGATATGTACAGTAAATTTAGGAAAATGTAAAAATTAATAAAAAAAACTAAAAAAAAGCCCAAAAGCCAGAAAATAATTATTTTTTTTCATTGGCCAAGTTCTCTTTCATGTCCATCCTAGCTTAACTTTTATCTTTAAATTAAAATGCTGACTAATACATCCCCACTGTGTAGTTCAGCATTATGAACAAAAACACAACTGCAGGGATAGCTGCACTCCAGAGTTAACTGTGGTCTATTCACATATGGAATCAACCTACGGAGTCAATGGAGGAATGATAAATAAAATGTGGTATATATAGGACCAGCAGGTGGCGTGGTAGTTAAAGGTGCTGGACTCCCAAAGGCCAACCGTGATTCGAGTCCCGGACCTGGCAGCTTGTTTTCTCACTTTCTCTCTGTCTCTTACTCTGTCCCTCTCTGGTCAAATTTATATACATAAACAAATAACATTAAATAAAATAATTCTTAAAAAAAAAAGATGTGGTATATATATCTAATGGAATACTAGTCAACCATTAGAAAGAAATTCTGGGGACCAGGAGTTAGTGTAATGGCTATGTCGCTGGACTCCCACGCAGTCTACCACGGTTTGAGTCCCGGACCCGGTGGCTTAAACTCACGCCAGGCGCGTGTGCGTGCGTGCCCAAGATCCCGAGAGGAGAATGGAGGAGAAGGGATTGCGGCATGGCCATCCCCTCTGGGGGGTGATTTCTCGCTTTCCTTCTGTCTCTGTCGGTCTGGCGAGCGCACGGGCCCTACAGGAAAAAAAAAAAAAAAAAACCTCTCAAAAAAAAAAGAAAGAAATTCTGACACTTGAGACAACATGGAGAAACCTAAAAGGTATCCTGTTAAGTGAAATAAGCCAGGCACAGAAAGAGAAAAATTAAATGTTCTCACTTATAAGTGGAAACTAAAATATTAGGTCGTCTGAAAAGTCATGAGATATTGTTCTGTACAAAGACGGGTCATGAATTTCCTGATGACTCAATAGTTAAGCTCATAGAGATAGAGAGTAGGGTAGTGGTTACTGGAGGAGGGATACTGGGGAAGGGAAGATACGGAGAGGCTGGTAATGGATTTAAAAGTACTGTCAGAGGAACAGGTGTTAGTGTCCTGCAGTGTGCTGTGTTACCTATAGTTACCAGTAGTTAATAATAACTCGTCGTGCATTTCAAAATAGCCGAAGGAAGATCTTGAATGTTCCCGACACTAAGTCATGATAAACACTTCAGATGATGGAATGCTAATCATCCCGAGTTGACCGTTACACATTGGATTCACGTACCGAGAAACCACTGCACCCCAGAAATATGTATAATCAGTATGCGCCAATAAAAATGATTTATTTATGCTCTAAAATGTCAAAATTTTGGTAACAAAAATTCTATCTTTATCAAAACAAAAACAAAAACAACTTTTTTCCCTTACATCCTAAAAGATGTCAGGAATTATAGAGACCAGTGTCCCATATGCTTGTATTAGGAATACTTTTTTTTTTTTTTTTTTAATTTTTTTAAAAATGGGCTGGGTTAGTTTTACAGGAAATTGGTAATTTAAAAAAAAATAATCAAGATGTGTAATTTTTTTTTAATTTTGTAAATATCTTTCCTACAACATTCCTGTGGTTTTTGGTATGTGAGTCCACGAAACAGACAAGATAGCTTCAGCAAACATGATTTGTAGGAGCAAATCATTCCTGTATCTTAGTTAATGATAAACAAACCAGGGTTTAACAAACAATGTAGCATCTAGTGGTATTGAAGTACCACATTTAAGTTGAATTGCTCTATATTAATTTCAGGCTTAATATCATAGAGCACGGGGCTTATGGATTGGAATTTCTCAATTTCAGCCTGTGCATGGCAAACACAGACCATATTATCCGATAGTATCAGTTATTCTGGTGGCCATGTGAAACCACATGTATTACCTCAGTCATTTCTAGTCTCTGTCAAATTGTTGGCAGACTTCATATCATATAACCTTACATGGCTGTTTTAGTACCTGCTCATGGCTGACAGTGAGGCATTGAACTGTTGAATGAACATGAGCAAGTCAAATTATGAAGAAGTCAAATTATAAAATTATGAAAAGGTATCATTTTATGTGAGGCCTTTGTAACCAGCATAAAAATAGAAAGTTGCTTTTTAGGAATTCTTTTTTTTTTTTTTTTTTAATGTAGTTCAAACAGTATCTGGTTCATTTTAGCTTCTTCATCGCCAAGCCTGAGGCAGGGACTGCTTCAGTTTCTCTGCCTTCTCTTTGTGATGACCACGGTGTAAAGGTATCTGCTGAATCAAACTTTAAACTTCACATGATCCTTATTTTTCTTGGTCTTGACAGGTTTGGCATCCTTTCCCAGGGCTCTCAGCAGAAAGTCTTTGATTTCCTCAATTTTCGGAGGTATGGCTGGGAGCACATGGGAGAGGGCGCCAACTGGCACTGCCCTAGAGATACTCTGTTTTAGGAATACTTTATTTTAT